AAAATGGCGGTCACTGATTCATCGAAAGAGGTCGCGATGTAGTACGACCCAATGAATAGGCAAGTGACAAGATCGCTAAACGCTTGTTGGGCAACCAGGTAGCTGGATATATTTCGAAAGCACTTGAGAGGATTTCGTTTGATGCAAAGAAGAAGTAGAATATTGATGCCGGCGCCAAGCAAAGACAACACCAGGAACAGAATACTGCTTGGCTTATGGTTCTCAATTCGCGTCATCCTTTAGTAGACGTTCGAACTACAAAAATAACAAACATGTAATTAAAGAGTTATAAACACGCTTGTTAATGTATATTATTTTTGACAATTAAGGAGCCTGGCCGCACATGTTACCTGATTTTTTTGATTGAACACAGGCGAAGAAATATTTAATCAGTTCGTGATGTCTTCAGTTTTTCTAGAAGGAACAAAATATTCTCGTTTTGTCTGCATTTTTTATGGCGTATTCTTTGTCTAAGAAATGTCAAATAAACTCTTAATATTTTTCATTTTTTGATCGCTCTTGAATTATTGATCACATCGAATAAACGCGAGCTTTTAACTTTCAATTACTTTTTCTGCCTTTTTTGTGATTTGAAACGGGGCAACCAAGGCCAAGCTGAGCGAAACGTACTCGTTTACTGACGAAACTCGAATGAAAAGAGGTGCGACAATTTCTAACAGTTTTATGTCTCGTGATTTTGGATCGACCGGCACAAAATAAGGGAAAGGGCGAAGAAATCTAATAATTCACATGTCAATCAGCCAGTCCATAAAGTTCGGCTATAAAAAGCCAGTAAACGCAATATATTTCACACAGTTTCGACCACAAACAAACATACATCTGCTTTGAACGTCTTGTTTACTCACGCTTGACGTGGAGGAGTCTGAATCATGAAGCCAACTGTAGTGAAAAGGCCATCAATACAATCACGACTGTCACGTGTCGTGAAAAGCAATTTCACCTTCGATTCTCAAAGAATTATCATATAAATATTGAATGAAAATTTTTTTTAATTATATCTCGAATTCTCCACCTGACAGTTAAATCGTTATATATTACCTTGATATTACAATAAGCTTTCGAAGATGAATCTTTTCTTTATATTAACTAGTGCTGATAGGTTTTCAATTTATTATAACAGGTAAATTCATATATACAAAGACGAATTCATTGGTGAATTTTTAAATTCCATCACTTCATTGCCAATAGTTTTTGTGCGTCTCTTCAAACGGAAGAAAACATTTCCACATTAACGTTAACGGCTCACGACTCACGACATGAACAGCGTTTGCCCAAATTATCTGTATTCGATCAAACAATTGTGCTTTGGGGCAGCTGGCTCAGTTTTTCTTATCAAAAACAACCTCAGCAAAATTTCAACAACCTCAGCAAAATTTCAACTTCAATTTTAGCTATCTCTCATTTTCATTTAGACTAACGGTTTTAATCTAGATTATGCCAAATCACAGACAATTTTTAGGCGACTCAACGGAAAAACCACTCTCGGACTCGGTTCAGTGAAAATATCCAACTTTTGTACAACCAACCCTCGATGATAACTACCAAGAACGACAGAAGTTGCTATATACTGCAACAATCATGTCTCCTTGACGTAAATAAATTACGGGGTTTCGCAGTATTTACTGCATCAGCAGTATAAAATTTATACAAAATATGTTTGGCTAATTTTAAACGGCAATACTTTTCACACTTTTCAATATTTCGATTTTTGAAGTTTATACCGTACTTCTTAATTTCGCTAATTTTTGAACGATCTTTTAAACTGTACTGACTACTGTTGAATTTTCCAATCCGTTCATTGTTGTGGGCGGGGAGAGCTTGTAAGCTTGAGAAATAGATCGAAGGAATGCTAAATTACCATAAACTGACTGAAATGTTCCTCTGGAGTAGATGGTTTCATTTTGGTCATAAATCCACATACTGCGAACATACTACGCTATCGGCGCAGATTTGAGAAGTGTAAGTGAACGGTGAGCTTTGAATGCAGCGTGGGCCGTGGAGCGTAGGTAAAAGAGCCTGGCCTGCGAGGTTGAGCTTTGAAGTGAGCTATACCGTATTTACTCGATTGAGCGCCGCCCCCGAACGAGCCCCGCATTTGCGATAAATTTTTCTTAAAGAGCGTCGCCCCCGAATGAGCGCCGCACTCATTATTTTCAAATTCGGCGCTTAATCGACACACCGTCAGAATTGTTGAAGACGCTATGGTTTAATATCGTTTCTTATTCATTTAATTATTATATAGCTCAGTGGTGCGCACCGCTCTGACGTCACGTGATGACATCACCGCTCCATCTATTACGAACACTGATCTGTATGATATTTGTGAACTCAGCAACTCAGCTGTATTGATTTTTTTTCTTTATAAAAATTGAATGTTTATTCTGTTGTAATAATGCGCTATTGCAGTACTCGTGGTGAAGTAAGCGACAAATCGTTTGAGGAAATATTATTTAATAATTTTACCTCAAATGGAGGCATTTTTATGCCAGAAACGATCCCTAATATTGATTCACAAACTTTGCAAAGTTGGTCAGAACTTTCTTACTGGAACTGTGTAAAGCAATATCTAGATTGTTCATCTCTGATAGCGAAATACCCACGGACGATTTAAGTGGTGAGCGTCTATGATATATTAATAGTCTTTATGAAACACTAGTTTGACTTTTTTGGTGTAAATAGTACTAATACTGATGATTACGCAGTTTCCAAGAATTTTCAAGAGCATGCACTCTAACGCAAAAATTCCTTTCTGGAACCAGTAACATGACAGCCTATAATTTGTTCTTTTTTTTACCTAATTTATTCATGAAGTCTGCAATCTCCTTATTTTGTTGACGACATCATTGACCGGCCAATATATCATAATTCTTGGAAATATTTTTTAGGTCAGTCGACCACACATTCTAATTAAATGAACACAACACTGTACAATTAAAATAGGTACTTGACTTCTTGCTCCTACCTTCACCTAAAATTTGATTTTTATGTCTGTGTGGCATTGTTATTTATGTCTGACATTATATGGATCAATGCACAGTAATAATTTTTATGTTTATTACAAAATCTAGAAATTATCACTGCCGCATTCACTGATGTCTTCGACCATAAGGATATAATCCCAGTTAAGAAGGTTGTTCAAGGTGTCTATGTTGCTGAACTTTGGCATGGACCAACCTTGGCATTTAAAGACCTGGCCCTAGCCTGTGTTGCTCAATTTATAGCATATTTCAACAAAAAGAAGTCCCGGCATGGTACTGCTATTGTAGCGACGTCTGGTGATACTGGTAGTGCAGCCATCGAAAGTATACGGCGATTCAAAAATATCAATATTATTTGCATGTTTCCCAAAGGTGCTTGTTCGAACGTTCAACAACTGCAGATGACGACTGTCGTAGATGAAAATGTGCATGTCTTTTCTGCAGAAGGCACCTCGGATGATATGGACATCGTTTTGCAGAGTATTTTGAAACAACCTGACCTTGTTAAGAAGTACAACCTGTTCACATTGAATTCTGGAAATTGGGCTCGAATTATGATTCAGATTGTCCACTATTTCCATGTTTATTTTCAAGTGCATCCCAACCCAGGTGATGAGGTGAATATTGTTGTTCCAACTGGTGGAATGGGTAATGTAACAGGTATGTTTCATAGAATAATTTGTATTATTTTTTGTGAGACAATCTTGGGAGATATTGTATGTTAGACAATCATAAGGTAATCTTAGTTTTACTTTTTAGCTGGTTGTATTGCCTATCTTATGGGGTTACCAATAAAGCTGACATGTACCACAAATGTGAATGACACTGTTCACCGAGCAATATCTGATGGAATTTTTTCCCCAAAGCAAGTCTCAAAGACCATTGCACCAGCTATGGATATTCAGGTATTAATATTTAGATTTTTTAAATTGGCACACATCACTCTAGGGAAATTGCAAGTCTGTTTAAAATAAATGTTGTCTTTGCTAACAAAGTTGGCATAAGATAATTTTTTCTGGTATTTGATCAACTCCAATCAATCTTTGTGATGACACAATTGTTTTCATTGTTCTTCTTCTATAAAATTTCATCTTTGAATTGTTATAATTTTTTGCCAGGTACCACCTAATTTTGAGAGGGTGATATTTCTTCTCTCTGGTGTCAAGGAAGTGCAGGAATTTGCATCAAATTTTGAGAAGAATGGAAAAAGTGAAGTGCCACAAAATGCAAAGAACAAGGTGTAGTCTCATTTTTTTTTATTTCTATATAACCAACTGCATATATAGATTCATATTCGTAAGGTCAGTCAACAAAGATTTTGTGGCACTTCACTCAATGTGGGAAAATGTTTGAAAGGGTGTGATTCACATTGCCTTCATTCGATCCTTATAGATGTCTGCTGTACTAAGCTCACAATCTGTTTCACAAGAACAAATTCTAAATATTATGAAGAAATCTTGGTGTGAATGGAAATATCTAATTGACCCCCATACTGCAACGGGAATGCATTTTGCTTTCAACACAACCAGGTAATTGTTGCACAGTTTCCACAAATGGCACCTTTGTACTGTTAATACTAATAACTAGCTTAACATCATTTCACTTTTCCAGCATACAAAACGGTTCCCCTTCTGCTCATGTTGTTGTCTCAACTGCACATATCGATAAATTTCTGGAGACGCTAGAGATGCTTCAAATTGAGCATCAACCCTCCAAAAAAATACAGTCTTTATTTGAAAAGCCAACAAAATTTAAAGAGTTGAAGAAAGGTGAAAACTGGTATGAAATTATTTTGAAAACTATTGATGCCATTGATAGCAACCACAAAAATACTGTACAGGAGTAATTATTTAATTATTCCCATAGTATTTTTTATTGTACAAAATAGAGTTGATAATCTTAATGTTAAGATTACTTGATAATACTTGAGGGAAGCACACACATGCATACATAATATATTTACAATTCTTAACATACTCCATAGCAACGTTAATAATTAAATAGCAGAACCTAAACATGAAACGTTTCTACTAAGAATTCATCTAAACAGATGCCTCCTTGTCCTCAAGACTTTTAATATATTCATATTCCTCTAGAAATTAGAGAAATACTTGTCATTGTCAAATCAAGAAATTTTCAATGAAAAAAGTGTACATATTAGCCTGGGCTTTACAGTTAAAATATCACATGCAATATTACAACTTTCACCACTTTACTTTGCTCATGTCTCTCCATTGTTGGCCACTGACTAATAACTTAATGCAGTCTTTCTCTTCAGTCTTTGTGGCCACCAAAGGCCACAAACGTAATGCAGTGGCACACAATAAAACCGCAGAAAGCTATTCGAATCGCATTTCAACTGCAAGCTGTAGTATCACCCTTAATTACAGAAATGTACTATGACACAATGCCTTTAGGTTATGGTTAGGTTTACCTTCTGTCAAGGGTGCAACAGATAGTCTTGATTGCGTGAACAGAGATAGCGATTTAAGTGGTCCTCCATCTTCTTTGTGTTCCTGTTTGAAATTTATAACATCATAAAATTCTGACTTGAAAAAACCAGGAGAATTACCTCACAACAAAGAATACCTAGATACAATAGAGCTTATCGGAGAGTATATAATTCAATAAAATTACCAAGTGAATCTTCCTCAATTCCTTAAGAGATATAAATCTTTTCATCATCCTCACATACTTGACATCGACCATAAACCACTTTGGTTTATCTTTTGAAGCTTTCCTTCAGAAAAGAAATAAAACTTCAGCTACTTGCCTGAATTATTAATCTGGTAATGCTTCAATAACAATGGCATTTATTCAAATAGTAACAGTACACTCATACAGTACTGCATGCGTAATTTGGTACAGTAGCTCCAAAGAAGAGATGTTAACTGCTAATCGATACTGTATACTCACGGATCATAATGTGGATCTGCCTTTTCAAACTGTGTGTGATCCACGTAGGACTCTTTCACAACCTACAAGGTAATAAAACTGTGTGATTCCATGTTTGATCAAATATCTTTCACAAGATTTTAGATCCACCATATCTTTATATGGAGGGCACTACATCATAAAAGATGTGATTCCAAGGAATTTTTATATGTTTAAGCTAATACCTCCATGATTCCAGCAATACCAGGTTCCTTGCAGTTGCTGTGGTAGAAAAATGCCAGCTCGCCAATCCTCATTTGATCCCTCATGAAATTCCTTGCCTATGACATGCATATGCAGTGAATATGCTATGTATATTAGAATGCCATCTAGTTTAAATACAAAATCTACTCTTGTTCACAGAGATAAGGGCCATTGAAGTTGCCTATAAACATGTCAACATGATTTCAATTTTCATTTTGTAATGTACCTGGTAGTTTCTTACGCCATCCCAATGTGTTGTCTGATCAGTCGATTGCTTAAGATCTTCTATACCAAACTAAAAATGTTCTTCAACTTAATTTTACATGGACAACATGGAAGCTTGTTCATGCAAACTAAATTTTATACCAACTGGGAATCATTACCTTGACATCAACTCCATTTTGAATACGGCTTTCTGGTTCAGACTTCATCAGCCATTTTGTGAATTTCTTCACAGGCTAGTTAATTAAGAAAGAAATCAAATTAATGACCACACCCTGTATTTATTACCCACATTCAATCATTCATGATTCATATCTTGCATTTGATCACAATGCAATAGTATTGTGAGTGGAGAGCCACAACTCCCATTGTCAGGAGTGGCAGCATAGCCATCCTCTATGGGTGCATGGGGAAGGCAAGATGGACCATTGAAGAAGGTAAATGGGACAGCATGGTTTTAAATTCAATAGCCCACCTGAAAAAATAAATTTGTCACTACTAACAAACTAGGTCTGACAGAAGGCACTTTCAACTGTGCAGAAATTATGGACTCGATATGGGCATTTGAACCTATGGTTCCGCTTCTTCTCACTAATTCTGCCCCATTTCTCTAATTACATATCCTTGATCCAGTTTATAGCGAACATACTAAATATATAAACTGGCCACCTCCACTTCATCGCTAGTAGGTTTTGGTGTTTCCTCGCTTGAATTTTGAGCAGTTCGTCTCTTCTTTCTTGGTGGCATTGTAAAAAGTTAGAGCGTTTTCAAACCCAAAGCCCTTGGGTTGGGATCTCGTACAATGAAAGCGCGCAGTTCGTATTGTTGAGCAATCGATTTTACGGGGGGAAGAAGAAAATTTCGGAAAGTCACTGGTAAATCTATTTCAGATTTTAAAAATAATATTGAAAGAAAAAATCAATGAATATTTACCTTTTAAAACAAATAAATAATTATTTTTCGACAAATGCTTTAAATAGCATATACCTGGATTACCTGGATATATAAAATTAACTTAATTAAGCTAAATTGCTAAAATATATTACAATCAGTTTGTAAAGTGTTCAATGTTGAACCCCCCGTCTAAAGTCTGTTTCGTTATTTTCGTATTGCCGTTGAAATGGCTGCTCAAAAACTTGGAAGGTTAGCATCGAAAACAACCGCGTTTTTCTTATGTGACATGCAAGAAAAATTTCGGCCGTCCATACGATATTTTCCAGAGATAATAACAGTTGCCAAACGCATGGTATGATTGCTTTGATTATCCTGTTTTTACCTAATGTTTGATTACTGAGTTGGACATTCATGATTGTATTTTAATGCTGGTTTTTTTCAGGTTGACAGTGCTAAAATAATGGGTATTCCAGTAATAGCAACGGAACAGGTAGAATACGCATATATATGCATATAATAGCTACGTTGCACCTGCACTTTTAAAGTTTTTAGGATCATAGTTTAATTATAATTCACATTGTTTTATTTTCTATTTAGTATCCCAAAGGACTTGGTAGTACAGTAGCTGAGATTGACATGAGTGGTATCACAGCATATCCAAAAACAGTCTTTTCAATGGTGATACCCGAGGTTGAACAGAAATTGAAGGAAATGGAACATGTTAAATCAATTGTCTTGTTTGGAATTGAGGTATATACTGAGCTATTTTATTATAGGTAAGCAGGGGCGCCGGAACCACGGGGGCAGCATCATAAATTCAACATTTAATCATGATGCCTACTTTTCGCATAAAAATTAACCGGTAATATTATTGAAAATGTGTTCTCCTGTGGATTTGCAAGTTTGAATTGTACTTATAAATTTAAGTTTCCTCTTCGTGTTCTAAAACTCTGCCCTTGCCGCCCTAAACTGCTTTCGGCGCCCCTGTAGGTAAGATACAGTATGAGATATACCCAATATATATATATATATATATATATATATATATATATATAATATATATATATATATATATATACCAGGATCCCAAATCCCATACCAATATATGAGGTACTTGAGAATTGCTTTTGGATGATACTGTTCCAATAAACCATTTCAATATTTACCAAAATAATATTTCTATTTAAATCTGTATCGCTGGTATTGCAAAGTTGACACTTTCACCATTCAGTTAATTATTAACACTTTCAAAAATGAAAATCTCTGTCTTTGGCAGTCAAAGTGTTAATACTGATTACTTGACATAAACCCAGCACCATAATACACATATACTCTATATGCTCTATGTTCATACATAAAAATTATGTTACAAAATTGTGTTTTTGCATGTGTACATACACAAATTCTACTTAGTCTTTTATTTTGACAATAATAATAATATTAACAATACCAGTCATAATAATAGACTGACGCATACATGTGTAAGCACAGTGAGAATAAAAATAAATATCACTTGTGTCTAGGCTGCCAATCTCTGTCAAAATGGTCTATATATTGAGCTGTAAATACACTATATAATAATGTATTTTATGATTACTGTTTTACGTTCTTGTTTCCATAGGCGCACGTTTGTGTTCAACAAACAGCTCTGGATCTTCTTGAACGAAATTATGATGTTCATATTGTTGCTGATGCTGTGTCTGCTCGTAGCATGACAGACAGGATGTTTTCTTTTGAGGTAAATATATACTGTAAATATATTATTATTTTACATAATGTCAATTAATGCAGCTAATGAAAGCAATACAAATGAACAATCTAGACTTAAATCATAGTAATGATATTAACAGTTAACTGCTAATTTAAAAGAATATTTATAAAAAAAGAGATTTGGTTTCTTTTAGCGTCTTCGGCAATGTGGAGCATTCGTAACCACAAGTGAGTCTGTTTTATTTACTTTACTTGGAAGTTCAAAACATGAGAAGTTTAGGGAAGTACAAGCACTGGTCAAAACATCATCTCCAGATTCTGGGTTGCTATCAAAAGTTTGAACCATATTTGAACTTATAAATTATTGTAATCAAAGGTTTGAACTTATAAATGAATGCATAAATAATACTCCAGGAGATTTTTATAAGTTAGTGATAAAAAACGATTACCATACTGAAAGTAATTACAAATATCAAGTGTATCAAGTTTACAGTCTATAGATAATTTAATGTAGTTTAGTCAAGTTTCTGCCAAAGGAATTATAATGGTTAGTTCATGAGTGGATTTATTAAAAGTTGATGTTGTCTTGTCCTCATTCCCTTCTTGTGGTAGTTGCAGATGGAGCTTCGGGAATTTGTCAGAATACAACTCAAGATCATACTAGATAATTGTAAATTTATAGAATATATAATATGCCTTGAAGACATTGTGCTAACAATGACATTGTGCTAACAATGCACATTATTATAGACTCTACAGTAACTCTTGTAGGAAGCACAATAATTAGGGGACACAATGCACTTTTCAAAATATCTCACCTTTGAAACATCAAGTGCACATTCAGCCCCTGAGTTGATCTGTGGTAACTCAACCTTAATCATGATGCATTTGGGTTTTTCATTTGTTGCCTCCACCATCTCGATGTGATGCTTAGGGAAATTCTCCTCTTTTGTTACTTTCTCTTTTCTACTAGTTGACATTTCCTGGATTAGCAGCCTCTTCGGTTTATTTCCATCTCTCTTTTCACCAGGCGAGCCCTGAATTTTTCTTGCTATTCCACCTGCCTTTGGATCCTCTCCATTCATCACAATTTTGGAAAGTCCTTCAAGTATCGATCCACTCTCAGTTTCACCTGAGGTGCTATTGTCTGGTTTAGTTGTCCCAGATGGTGCCTTCCCAAAGTGGCTGGTGAATAAATACCTCTTCAGTTCGTCTATATTTCCTTTGTATTTAATGGTTAGTATCTTATAAGCTGTAGATAATTTAATACCAGCTTGTTTCTCAATGTAGTCAAGTGCTAACGAGGCAACATATCTCCAACCTTGAATATCCTTCTTTGTTTGGTCAATGATATCATTGTGAAAACAAATATCCATGACAGAATGTTTCGAGTTGACTTCGGGTAAATCTCGTAAGTTGCTGGCTACCACAGATATTTTGGTGTCCCCCTCTTTAGGTTTCGATACACGTTCCCATTTGCAAATGTTGATGAAGACATGGTGATTGCTTGTTTCTGGTAACTGAAAAATAACGGAATACAATCTAGGCGATTGTAATCAAAAACGTACTTCCCACTGATCCCATTTTAAGCAAACTTATGATTGTAGCTCTTTTATATATCACCTATGGAATTGATTTATGTGATCAGGAAGACTTTCTGATGGGGCTTGAAGCTCTTCCGGTGGATGATTAATCAACTTTCCATACTATTAAAATCTTTATAAAGTATGCTATGCATTCATGTTGCTAGGTAACTTTACGGACAACCCAGAGCTTAATAATCTGAGTTTATACATTAATGGCATTCTTAAAGCATAATTTCTGCTCTTTGCAAGAATGAAAAATTCTCTTTTGAACTGAAATTATATTTCTGGAAACTGATTTTATTTATTCTTACACTTCTACCTTGACAGTACGAAAACAGAATACTGCTTCAGGAGGCTTCCAGTGTTTCTTTTTTTCCTTGATAACATTGTCTATCAATTTTCTGTACCCCTCTGGGTTGTTTCAGCTAGATCATCTAGCATTTTCCATAAGGTATCGGCTTGACCCAAAATTGACTCATTACCTGCAGCAGCTCCAAACTGGAATTGCGCATTGTCCGCCATCTTGAATTTTACCGAGTGTTCCCACTGGGAGTCATGGAACGAGACTTTGTTTTTTTAAAGTTTTTCAAAGTGCAAAATCTTTTTGACAGATTCTGGTTTTGAGTTTTGACTATCATATGTTCTAACATAAACTTGTAAAGGAAAAAGTATTAGTTTGAACGTGGGCACAGCACAATCAAAACGTGAAACCAGAAACTTCTGCCAAATAACGTTCGAAATAATGCCCAAATGGTCAATGACCCTGACCATTTTGGTCAATTTTGACCATAGGACCCCAATAAATATTTTTGAAATATTAAGTAAACAGTTTTTTGTCCAGTTACGTTCAGTGACGTCAGTGATCGCGAAGCATAAGATATAGTTATTGAGCTATAACTATAACTATATCTAACTATATCATAGGCAGCCCAATTATGTATGCATGTTTATACATAGGCAGCCCAATTATGTATGCATGTTTATATACTATATATATTTATATATAAGGTTGGCAACTTTACGAGCTCTGACGAAGTATACGATGTAAACAATTGAAAAATATACGCACAAACGCTGATGAAAACTAAAAAAAAATGTTAAAAAACAAAACAATGATAGTTTTCCTCAATTCTCATCAAAAAATTTTGTTCAAATAGAGTGGATAAATGCGAAAATATAGGCAATTTTTAAAGCATTTGCTGCCAAAATTTCTTGTCTCGATGCGGGATGCCAAGGGTGCCAGTATTCGTCATTTTTTTAAATACAACACGCAATATGATTGGGCAGAATGTTTTTCTATACTTTTCTGCCCAATCATATTGCGTGTTGTATTTAAAAAAAATGACGAATACTGGCACCCTTGGCATCCCGCATCGAGACAAGAAATTTTGGCAGCAAATGCTTTAAAAATTGCCTATATTTTCGCACTTATCCACTCTATTTGAACAAAATTTTTTGATGAGAATTGAGGAAAACTATCATTGTTTTGTTTTTTAACATTTTTTTTTAGTTTTCATCAGCGTTTGTGCGTATATTTTTCAATTGTTTACATCGTATACTTCGTCAGAGCTCGTAAAGTTGCCAACCTTATATATAAATATATATAGTATATAAACATGCATACATAATTGGGCTGCCTATGGTTTATATACTATATATATTTATATATAAGGTTGGCAACTTTACGAGCTCTGACGAAGTATACGATGTTAACAATTGAAAAATATACGCACAAACGCTGATGAAAACTAAAAAAAAATGTTAAAGAACAAAACAATGATAGTTTTCCTCAATTCTCATCAAAAAATTTTGTTCAAATAGAGTGGATAAGTGCGAAAATATAGGCAATTTTTAAAGCATTTGCTGCCAAAATTTCTTGTCTCGATGCGGGATGCCAAGGGTGCCAGTATTCGTCATCTTTTTTAAATACAACACGCAATATGATTGGGCAGAATGTTTTTCTATACTTTTCTGCCCAATCATATTGCGTGTTGTATTTAAAAAAAATGACGAATACTGGCACCCTTGGCATCCCGCATCGAGACAAGAAATTTTGGCAGCAAATGCTTTAAAAATTGCCTATATTTTCGCACTTATCCACTCTATTTGAACAAAATTTTTTGATGAGAATTGAGGAAAACTATCATTGTTTTGTTTTTTAACATTTTTTTTTAGTTTTCATCAGCGTTTGTGCGTATATTTTTCAATTGTTAACATCGTATACTTCGTCAGAGCTCGTAAAGTTGCCAACCTTATATATAAATATATATAGTATATAAACATGCATACATAATTGGGCTGCCTATGACTATATCTGTAACTTTATGCTTCGCGATCACTGACGTCACTGAACTCGCAAAGTAACTGGACTATTTCCTTATTATTCAAAAATATTTATTGGGGTCCTATGTTTTGACGACTATTTCAATGTTTCAAAAACCAACCCATTAGTCTTAAAAGACATTTAAAAACTAGTTAGGCTTACCCCTTACCATTTTGGTAAATTTTGACGACTTTTTGAGGTCTTCAAAAATGTCTGAAAATGCTAAAAATGGCTTCCTGAGACTAATATCTTTAATTTTAGAGCATATTTGGTTGGTTTTTGCAACATTGAAAAATTGTCAAAATTGACCAAAATGGCAAGGCTTACCCATTACAATTTTACTCAATTTTGACGACTTTTTGAACTGTTCAAACACTGTCTTAAATGCTAAAAATAACTTCCTAAGACTAATATCTTTCATTTTAGAGCACATTTGGTTGGATTTTGGAACATTGAAAAATTCTCAAAATTGACCAATATGGTAAGGCTTATCCATAACAATTTTTGTCAATTTTGACGATTTTTTCAATTGTTCAAAAACTGTCTTAAGATGGTAAAAATGGCTTCCTAAGTTTAATATCTTTCATTTTACAGCACATTTGGCTGTTTTTTGGAACAATAAAAAAGTGGTCAAAACTTACCAATATGGTAAGGCTTATCCCTTACCATTTTGCTCAATTTTGACGACTTTTTAACTGTTCAAAAACTGTCTTAAAATGCTAAAAATGACTTCCTAAGACTAATATCTTTAATTTTAGAGCACACTTGGTTGGTTTTTGGAACAATGAAAAAGTGATCAAAATCGACCAATATGGTAGGCTTACCCATTACCACTTTGGTCAATTTTGACGACTTTTTGAACTTGTCAAAAACTGTCCTAAAATTCTAAAAATAGCCTCCTAAGACTAATATCTTTCATTTTTAGGGCACATTTGGTTGGTTTTTGGAACAATGAAAAAGTGGTCAGAATTGACCAATATGGTAGGCTTACCCATTACAATTTTGCTCAATTTTGACGACTTTTTGAACCCTTCAAACACTGTCTGAAAATGCTAAAAATGGCCTCCTGAGACTAATATCTTTCATTTTAGAGCACATTTGGTTAATTTCTGGAACAATGAAAAATTGGTCAAAATTGACAAAAAAGGTAAGGCTTACCCCTTCACATTTTAGTCAATTTTGATGACTTTTTGAACTGTTCAAAAACTGTCTTAAAATGCTAAAAATTGCTTCCTAAGACTATTATCTTTCATTTTAGAGCGTATTTGGTTGGTTTTTGGAAGAATAAAAAATTGGTCAAAATTGACTAAAAAGGTAAGACTTACCCCTTAACATTTTGGTAAATTTTGACGAGTTTTTGAACTGTTCAAAAACTGTCTTAAAATGCTAAAAATGGTTTCCTAAGACTATTATTTTTCATTTTAGAGCGTATTTGGATGGTTTTTGGAACATGAAAAATTAGTCAAAAATGACAAAAAAGTAAGGCATACCCCCTTACCATTTTAATCAATTTTGACGACTTTTTGAACTGTTCAAAAATTGTCTTAAAATGCTAAAAATGGCTTCCTAGCACTATTATCTTTCATTTTAGAGCGCATTTCGTTGGTTTTTGGAAGAATAAAAAATTGGTCAACATTGACTAAAAAGGTAAGACTTACCCCTTAACATTTTGGTCAATTTTGACGACTTTTTGAACAGTTAAAACTGTCTTAAAATGCTAAAAATGGTTTCCTAAGACTATTATCTTTTATTTTAGAGCGTATTTGGATGGTTTTTGGAACATGAAAAATTGGTCAAAAATGACAAAAAAGGTAAGGCATACCCCTTACCATTTTGATCAATTTTGACGACTTTTTGAACTGTTCAAAAACTGTCTTAAAGTGCTAAAAATTGCTTCTTAAGACTATTATCTTTCATTTTATAGCGTATTTGGATGGTTTTTAGAACATTGAAAAATTGGTCAGAATTGAGTAAAAAGGTAAGGCTTACCCCTTAACATTTTCGTCAATTTTGACGACTTTTTCAACTGTTCAAAAACTGTCTTAAAATGCTAAAAATGGCTTCCTAAGACTTTTATCTTTCATTTTAGAGCATATTTGGTTGCTTTTTGGAAGAATGAAAAATTGGTCAAAATTGACAAAAAGGTAAGGCTTACCCTTAACATTTTGGTCAATTTTGACGACTTTTTGAATTGTTCAAAAATTGTCTTAAAATGCTAAAAATGGCTTCCTAAGTCTATTATCCTTCATTTTAGAGCGTATTTGGTTGGTTTTTTGAACATTGAAAAATTGGCCAAAATTGACTAATAAAAAGGTAAGGCTTACCACTTCACATTTTTGTCAATTTTGACGACTTTTTGAATTGTTCAAAAACATTCTTAAAATGCTAAAAATGGCTTCCTAAAACTATTATCTTTCATTTTAGACCGTATTTGGATGGTTTTTGGAACAATGAAAAATTGGTCAAAATTGACTAAAAAGGTAAGGCTTACCCCTTAACATTTTCGTCAATTGTGATGACTTTTTGAATTATTCGAAAACATTCTTAAAATGCTAAAAATGGCTTCCTAAGACTATTATCTTTCATTTTAGAGCGTATTTGGATGGTTTTTGGAACAATGAAAAATTGGTCAAAATTGACTAAAAAGGTAAGGCTTACCCCTTAACATTTTCGTCAATTGTGATGACTTTTTGAATTATTCGAAAACATTCTTAAAATGCTAAAAATGGCTTCCTAAGACTATTATCTTTCATTTTAGAGCGTATTTGGATGGTTTTTGGAACAATGAAAAATTGGTCAAAATTGACTAAAAAGGTAAGGCTTACCCCTTAACATTTTCGTCAATTTTGACGACTTTTTCAACTGTTCAAAAACTGTCTTAAAATGCTAAAAATGGCTTCTTAAGACTTTTATCTTTCATTTTAGAGCATATTTGGTTGCTTTTTGGAAGAATGAAAAATTGGTCAAAATTGACAAAAAGGTAAGGCTTACCCTTAACATTTTGGTCAATTTTGACGACTTTTTGAATTGTTCAAAAATTGTCTTAAAATGCTAAAAATGGCTTCCTAAGTCTATTATCCTTCATTTTAGAGCGTATTTGGTTGGTTTTTTGAACATTGAAAAATTGGCCAAAATTGACTAATAAAAAGGTAAGGCTTACCACTTCACATTTTTGTCAATTTTGACGACTTTTTGAATT